TTTTAGGACTAATTTTGTTTTTGTTTTGTTGGGAGGGTCTTGGGGTCTCAATAAGTTGTCTTGGGTATGCGTGAACTTGATATACAAAACAGGCTAGCTTAGAACTCAGAGATGTGCCTGCTTCTGCCTTTCTAGTGTTGGGATTAAAGTGTGTGCTACCACTTCCAGCCAATTTCATTTTGATTGTTTTGTTTTTGTTTTTCAAGACAGGGTTTCTCTGCATAACTCTACTGTCCTGGAACTCACAGTGATCTGCCTGCCTCTGTTTCCCGAGTGCTGGGATTAGCAGACAATTTGATTTTATTGGGAGGATATTTAGGTTGGAAAATTATTTCTTTGTGTATATGTGAATGTTTCTGGTTGGAAATAATTGTGGCAATATTTTATACTCCCTAAGGTTCTATGCAGAGTTGATTTATGCATAAGGCTTTAGGAAGACCATGAGTTAAGAATGAGTTTATGCTCTTATGTGTGGTGATAGTAGACTTGTTTCTCCCTGTCTTGTCTTTTGGAAGGCATTGCTAGAATGAGATTTGGGCCTGTTTAATGTAGTGCTTTGCTCTTTTTAGGCTGTTTTCTGTATGTAAGGAAGCTAATGATATTCCCGTATTCCTTTGCCTGTGCTGGGCATATAGCTCAGTAACACTCTGCCTAGCATGATGAGGTCCTGGTCTCTTCCTCAGCTCTGTAGAAAAGCAAGGTAGGGCCTGAGCATGGGCAGCAGGAGGGAGGAGACAAGACGTCATTTAGGGCAGCTTTCCTCCTTGGGGATATTGATGATTTCTTTGTTGTCCAGGACTGTGCCACATTGAAGGAGATTTCAGACCCAGGCTCTGCTCTGTGGGGGCCAGAAATCACTTTTTCTGTCTCCACACCTCCAGTTACTATAGTGATTAAATGCGTGTAAACTCATAGATTCACTACCACGCAGTTTGAAGCACTTGTACTTCCAGTTGATAAGTAACACCTGCATAGTTTGATGCGATCTGAGCCCTTGATTTCAGGAGCAGTTTATTTGTGGTTTCAGTGCACAGAGAAGGAACATGTCATCTCTTTTGGTGCTCATAGCCTTTATCCAAGCTGGATCTTTGGTAGGCATTATAGTTAGTATCGGGATTACGGGTGTGTGCCACCATGCCAGCTGGGCATTTTTCTGTTAAGATCCCAGTGTGGCTGATGAGAGGGGTGGGGGCCAGCTGCTCAGTGGCCAAGCATGCACTTGCTGTGCCCGACACCAGCACCAGAAATGAAAGAGTGGGAGCCTAGACAAGTAAGAGTTTGTCCTGATGGCATCCATGAGTATTACTTCCCCTCCTAAATCTGAAGTACAGGGCTGCTTTTTCCAGTTCTAAAAGATAAGAGAAACTATATGGATTGTTAGGATTCTTTATAGTAAACCATACTTCTCAGACCTTTCGCTGAAATACCCCTAGACTGCTCAGTCAATATCTGGACAGTACTGAGCCAGTGTGGAATCCTTGCAGTTCTAAAATAATCTTAAAAATATTGTAAGCCAGGCAGTGGTGGCACACACCTTTATTCCCAGAACACAGGAGGCAGAGGCAGGCAGATCTCTGTGAGTTCCAGGACAGCCTGGTCTACAGAACTAATTCCAGGACATCCAGGGATACACAGTGAAACCTTGTCTCAAAAAAAAAAAAAAACGATTGTATATTTTGCTCTATTATGTATGTATATATATTTGCCATTGTATTAATAAAAAAATACCTTGTTTCTGGGAGTGTAGCTCAGGAAAGTTCATGAGGCTCAGGGTTCAATCCTCTTCAACACACACCCTCTAAATACTGTATTGCTGTATTGGGGTGTGGAAGTCTTCTGTCGTCTACTGACTAAATGAGTGCTCCCAGATGAGATACTAGTTTCTTGTAGAAACCAAAGCACCAAATACATATACATGCCACCGTGCCCAACTTTTGATCTTACATTTATATCATAAAAAATTTGGACACAGCATATATTTTGAAGAACAGGGAATTTATTCATTAAGTGCTAGTTTATCTGTGCAGTAAAGTACTTTGTAGCCATGAAAATCTGTGTAGAAAGCTGGGAATAGTGGCATGCACCTACATTTGTAACACTTGAGAGGTACAATCAGGAGTTCAAGGTGGTCTGCTGCTGAATGGCAAGTTTGAGGCCAAAAGGCTACATGAGACCGTGTTTCAAAAAAGAGACAACAGTAAGTAATGTGGCCAGCACCTGTTGGTACAGGCTTGTAATCCCAGCACTCAGGAGCTAGAGACAGGCAGCTCTCTCTGAGTTTGAGGCCAACCTAGTTTATATACTGAGTTTTGGATAGCCATGGCTACATAGTGAGGCTTTTTGTTTCTTTCTGTTTTTTTGTTTTTTTTTCTTCTGTTTTTTTTCCCCCTCCTTTTTAAAAAAGATTTCTTTATTGTGTATACAGTGTTCTGTCTGCATGTACACCTGCACTCCAGAAGAGGGAGCCAGATCTCATTATAGATGGTTGTGAGCCACCATGTGGTTGCTGGGAATGGAACAAAGGACCTCTGGAAGAACACCCAATGCTCTTAACCTCTGAGCATCTCTCCAGCCCTCTTTTTTCCCAGTTTTTCAAGACAAGGTTTCTCTGTATAGCCCTGGCCTGGGCAGGGGATAAAAGGACTCAGAGATCCACCTGCCTTTGCCTCCCAAGTGCTGGGATAAAAAGGATTAAAGGCATGTACCACCACCGCCTGGCTGAGACTCTGTGTTTAAAAAAAAAAAAAAAAAAACAGACAAAACAAAATCAAAGCTAGCCTGGCTATAGAGTAAGTTCAAGGCCAGCTCTGGACAGTGTAATTGTCTGAGGACACTCCACTCTCCCCCCAAAATGTATAGAACTACCATGAAGCCCTGGTTCAGATTCTGAATAGACACACAAAAGTCTGGTGAGCCAGCATGATGCTTGAGCAGGTGAAGGCACTTGGCATCAAGTTTGACCTGGGTTTAATCTTTGGGACTCACAGGTAGGAGGAAAGAGCTAACTCCTGCAGGTTGTCATGTGACCTCCACAGGTGTGCCATGTTAGCTGTGTGTGTGTGTGTGTGTGTGTGTGCATGCACATGCGCAGACAGGCAAACATGAGCACAAATAAATATGCAATGTATGGCTGGGGGGGGTTGTCTTGGTCAGGTTAATTGAGGTGGAAAGACCCATGTTCATCATCTGTGCCTCCTGACCATGCGTGCAGTGTGACCAGCTGCCACAAGCTCCTGCTGCCCTGATGCTGCGATCAGGATAAGACGGGACCTTGGGACAGTGAGCCAGGGCCCCTTCCTTCAGCTGCTCTGCCCGGTGGTTTCCTGCAGCGAGACAAATGACTCGTACAGCCGTTGGCCTTCTTGGCACACTGACTCCATTGTTTCTTTGTCTTGGCTCTCTCCTTTGTTCTTTCTACCTGTAATCGTTTCTCTTCTTTAATGTCGGAATCAAGACCTCTATGTATTTACATTGGTGGGTGTGGAGAAGAGAGGAAAACATTTGAGAGAATTGATCTCTCCTTCCACCAAATGACTGTCGGGAATCTGACTCAGGGTGTCTGCCTTGGAGTAGGGCGTCTTCAGAAATGGATACTGTGTTTCTAGTAATTCTCTGAGGTTCCCTTCCCTTTGGAAAGCCATTGTCCTGCGGGTGCATTTATGTGTCTTCCGCACCCGCCCACATGCATTGCTTACTAATCTTCCATCTTTCTCAGTAACAACCTTTGCTTGCTCTTCCCGCTGTCTGAGAAGGGAAGATGCCGGGAGCCAGAGCCTGAGGCTTTCCTCCCTGAGCTACCAGTGTCTGGCACTGGTCCCAGTAGGTTAGTGTGGAACAGTCGCACTCTGAGTGTGTAACGGATCTGCATTGAAGCTTCTGCCCTTGTAAGTGTAGAAAGCAATTCTGTGCCAGCTCCTCACATCCCTGTACTCCTCTGGGAAGAGGCAGGATGTTCAGTCCTGCACGAGGTCCTTGGCATTCCGCTTTCCTAGTCACCTCAGTTTTCACCGGTTTTTAAGCCTTGAGGCTTAAAAGGCTGTACAACTACTTAATACAATAATTACAGACTGCAATTTCAAGGTTTCTTTTACTTAATCGTGTGTGTGTGTGTGTGTGTGTGTGTGTGTGTGTGTGTGTGTGTGTGAATATGTGCATGTTAATGAAGATGCCTGGGGAGGCCAGAGGAATTAGACTCCCCTAGAGCTGTAGTTACAGGTGTTTGTGAGCCACCTTACATGGGGGTGGGAACCAGACTTGGGTCCTTTGCAGGACCTGTTAGCCACTGGGCCCTGTCGCCAGCCCCTTTCCTTTGCTTTTGAGATAGGCTGTCCTGTAGCCCAGGCTGACCTCAAAATTCTGTTCCTCCTGCTTCTGCTTTGCAAAGTGCTGAGATTCTAGGTGTGTGCCACTATACAGTGGTGCCAAATGTTTGCAGTACCAATAAGAAAGATTGAAGGGCCAGCAAGAAGGCTGAGTGGGTAAGGGTGTTTGCTTCTCAGGATGAAGGCAGATGTGTTCAACCTTTGGACCTTCCCTACCCCCCCCTCCACCCCCCATTCCCACCCTCACCCCACCCCCGCCCCCGTGGTTTTATTTTTTTATTTTATATATATATATATATATATATATATATATATATATTTTACAATACCATTCAGTTCTACATATCAGCCATGGGTTCCCCTATTCTCCCCCCTCCCAACCCCTCCCCGTGGTTTTTTTGTTGTTGTTTGGGTTGTTTTTTGTTGTCAAGGCAGGGTCTCTCTGTGCAGCCTTGCCTGTCCTGGAACTCACTCTGTACACCAGGCTGGCCTCCAAAGAGCCACCCGCCTCTGCCTCCTGAGTACTGGGTTAGAGGCGTGCACCACTGCTGCCAGGCTAGACACCCCCAGAGTGGAAGGAGAGAATTAACTCCATGTTACGCTTGGACAAAATTTAATACTTTCTTCTTTTTCTTTTTCCTTTCTTTTCTTTCTTTCTTTCTTTTTTTTTTTTTTTTAAGTCTACAGCACCTGGTATTCTTAGATGGTCTCCCATCCAAGTACTAACCAGGCCCAACCCTGCTTAGCTTCTGAGAGCAGAGGAGAGCAGGTGCATTCAGGGTGGTTTGACCGTAGACAGAATCGGTTTCTAATCTGTTGATGTAAAAGATTAAACTTTCCCAGCACTCAGGAGGCAGAGCCAGGCGGATCTCTGTGAGTTCAAGGCCAGCCTGGTCTACAGAGTGAGATCCAGGATAGGTACCAAAGCTACAAGGAGAAACCCTGTCTCGAAAAACAAAACAAATGTTAAACTTTAATATTAAGTCATTTTAAGTTATTTCGTGTTTCATTTGACTAATGGCCTTAGCTATGCCATTAATAATTCCAAGAGTCCTGCTGTGTTTGGCAAATGGATCTCTGTGAGCCTCAAGGCCAGATGGGTCTACATAGTGAGTTTCAGGCCAGTCAGGGCTACACAGTGAGACCTTGTTTCAAAACAGAAAACAGCAGTGAAACTCCTCAGTTTGCTATAGAGGAGACTCTTAATTGAACAAATGAGTGTTTGTACCCAGTGTTGACCACACTCAATAGCAACTGTGTTTTGTGTGCCTCTTTTCTCTTGCAGCTCTTCGTAGTGGATGTCCAGACAGGCCAGATCACCAAGATTCCCATTCTGAAAGACCGGGAACCTGGAGGTGTGTCTCAGCAGGGCTGTGGTATCCATGCAATAGAGCTGAATCCTTCTAGAACACTCCTAGCCACTGGAGGAGACAACCCAAACAGTCTTGCCATCTATCGACTGCCTACATTAGATCCTCTGTGTGTGGGTGACGTAAGTTTTTCCATTGGTCCTCATTAGAACTAACCTTGTTTTAAAACATGGATCCTCTCCTAACCTAGAAAGGGGTGGATTTTCCTGACTTGGGGGTGAGGGTAGAACAGAGAGCAGAATGGAGGTTGGGATTCCATAGGTAAGAGCCAGGACATGTGTGTGATAGAAGGGACAGATGGCACGTCTCTGTGGCTAAGAGTGGGGCTGTTTTTCACTTCACAGGGTCCATGGATCTCCCATTGCCCTGGCAGAAAATAAACGTGCCAATTTACCTACAGTCAGGCATTGTTTTTTGCTCCAGGAGCATAGCAATGAATAGAATTAATAAAGCCCTTGCCTTTAGTACAGTGCTGAGTGTGACCTGTGAGCCAGTGTGTGTATCATACAAGTCAGTAACATGTAGTGTGACTTGCACCATAGAGGAGTATCTGCAGGCTAAAGGGGTGGGGAGTAGCGGGAAGATGCTGTTTCAGAGGGAGGCAGAGAGAGCGTCAGTGAGAAGACATGTGAACAAGGAGAGAGACTTAAAGGAAGCGTGGGCAGCGCCATGGGAGTGTTCCAGGCCAAGAGAAGACTCTGAGCTGTGTCCTCTGGACATTTTATTTGTTTGATTTTGGGTTTTGGTATTTTGAGTCAGGTTCTCTAAGTAGCCCTGGCTGTCCTGGAGCTCCTTGTGTAGTCCAGGCTGGTCTCACTGAGATCCTCCTGCCTCTGCTTCCCAGTGCTGGGATTAAAGGTGTGCGACCCTTTTTGAATTCTTGTCTGCAGGAGTGCCAGTTTCTTCTGCCTTTGATTCTTCCCAGATATTCTGAGCTCTTACTCTACAGGTTAAGAGCATCAGAGGCCATGTTTTTGTTGTTTGTTGTTTTACAGTTATTTGTGTGTGTATGGGTACACATGCTGGTGCACACGTGGATCTGTGTGTGGGTGCACATGCTGGTGCACACGTGGATCTGTGTGTGGGTGCACTTGTGAATGTGTGTGGGTACACATGGGTGCACACATGGAGACCCGAGGACACTGAGAAGTACTGCAGTACCCGCTCCCTTCGCTGTGGGTTTTGGGGATCACACTCAGGCCCTCAGACCTGGCAGCACCTGACTTGCTGAGCTGCTTTGCTGGCCCTGTTTTGTTCCATGGCACGGTTCCATATGTGCTCCTGCCGTCCTGGACCGTGGGGTCCTCTGCCTCAACTTCCTGAATTACAGGCCTGTGCAACCATGCCCTTTTGTACTTAAATGTTTTACAAGCTATTTCCAGTCTGACCTGTATGCTTTTTAGGAGAATTCATTATGCTCCTTATTTTACTAATCTGTTGTTGTTGTTGTTTTCCTCTCTGTTCCTGTCACTTACCCTCTAAGGATGGACACAAGGATTGGATCTTTTCCATTGCATGGATCAACGATACTATGGCAGTGTCTGGTAAAGTTGCCCTCCTTTAGGAAGATTTGATGTGGCAAAGAGGAAGTTTAAAAATTATAGTAGTGTGATAGAAAATAACCTACTAACACTAGCAGGGGCCGGGGGGCCTTGTTTTCTTGTTTTTATTTATTCATTTATTTGGGTGGTACTAGGGTGAAATCAGGGCCTTGGTTATGCTGATTGGGTCCCCTTACCACTCAGCTATATTTCCCAGATGCCCCCACCTCACCCCCTCACCACCACTCTTTGTTGAGGGGCACAGGGTCTCCCATTGTGGCCAAGGCTGGTGTGGAACTCATACGTGGTCTAGACTGGTCTTGAACTTGCAGCATTCCCTTTGTCTGAGCCTCTTTTCTGCTGATACTGTAGGAATGACTCACTGTACCCAGCTTAGGGGACTTGTGTTTTCCTCGGTCATTCCACCTGAAGTGTTTTAGATTAAGTAATTGTGTGGGTGGGCACGCTCATGCCTTGGCACACATGGGGATCCGAGGGTGACTCTCAGCTCTTAGTTCTCTCCTCCTTCCCAGAACTTGGGAGGTGAAAGCAGGAAGATCAGGAGTTCATGAGCCAGCTTGGGCTATGTTAACATCCTGTCTCAAAGATTAAAAAATAGGAACAGAGGGCTGGAGAGACGGCTCAGCGGTTAAAAGCATGGGCTGCTCTTCCAGAGGTCCTGAGTTCAATTATCAGAATCCACATGGTAGTTCACAGTCGTCTGTAATGAGATCAATTGCCCTCTTCTGGCATGCAGGCATGTATGTGGATAGAGTGCTCATATGTACTTTAAAATACATGAAATAAATCTTAAAAAATAGGAAGAGAGAAGAGTGGAGGACAGAACCATAAGCAAACAAATATCTCTGTGTATGGGCTTTAATGTGAATTGTTTCTAATGGGATATAAATGTTCGGTGTTGCTGTGGGTGACGTGCCCCCCCCCCAGGACCGAACCCAGGGCCCTGTGCTTGCTAGGCAAGCGCTCTACCACTGAGCTGAATCCCCGAACCCGACGTTTTATTTTGTTGGAGAATCAGGAACAGGTTCAGAGAAAAAAGTCCTCTTTGAATGTGTGAGGCTGGGGATGAACTCAGCACTGGGCAGGGGTAAAGAAAAGAAAGCTGCTGGTTCATTATTGTTTACTAAGGAAAATAATTAGTAGGTTTTGTTTGGCTTATGACATTTAAAATTGAATTTAGGAGCCAAGCATGGTGGTGCACGCCTTTAATCCCAGCACTCCTGGGGCAGAGGCAGGCGGATCTCTGTGAGTTTGAAGCCAGCCTGGTCTACATAGAGAGGCCCAGGAGAGCTAGGGGGTCAGGGTCAGAGACCCTGCCTTTAAATAAATAAATGATAGATAGATAGATAGATAGATAGATAGATAGATAGATAGATAGATAGATAGATAGATATTAATAAATAAACATAGATAGATGAACAGACCTCAAGTCTTTGTGCTCAAGCAACTATTCTACTTCTGAGTTACATTCCCAGCACAAAAACAGCCATCTCAGGGCTGGAGGGATGGCTCAGTCATTAAGAGCACTGGCTGCACTGGGCGGTGGTGGCGCACGCCTTTAATCCCAGTACTCGGGAGGCAGAGGCAGGTGGATCTCTGTGAGTTCGAGGCCAGCCTGGTGTCCAAAGCGAGTTCCAGGAAAGACGCAAAGCTACACAGAGAAACCCTGTCTCGGGGGGAAAAAAAGTACTGGCTGCTCTTCCAGAGGACCCAGGTTCATTTCCTAGCCCCACATGGCACTGTAACTCCAGTTCTAGGGCTTCTGATACCCTTACATAGACATACATGCAGGCAAAACACCAATGATTATAAAATTAAAAAGCCACCAACAAAAAACCCAGCTATCTTTTTTCCTTTTCTTTGTTTTTTTTTTTTTTTTTTTTTTTTTTTTTTTTATTTTTTTTCTTTTTTTTTTTTTTAAATACCTGAGATGGCCTCCATAGCCCATGCTTAGCTCAAACTCACTATGTAGCTAAGGATGACATTGAACACCTGATCCATTTGCCTCCCCCTCCCAAGGGCTTAGAACATAGTTACATACCATCATACTAGGTTTTCTGTGATGCTGGAGATTGAACCTAGGATTTCCATGCATGATAGACAAGTGCTGTATCAAGTTATATCTCCAGCACTAAGAATTCATTCTTGGGGCTGGAGAGATGGCTCAGAGGTTAAGAGCACTGCTTCTTTTTCCAAAGGTCCTGAGTTCAATTCCCAGCAACCACATGGTGCCTCACAACCATCTATAATGAGATCTGGTGCCCTCTTCTGGCCTGCAGGGATATGTGCAGACAATACTGTATGCTTAATAAATAAATAAATCTAATAAAAAAAGAAAGTCATTTAAAAAAAAAAAGAATTCATTCTTGGCCAGATGTGGTGGTGCACACCTTTAATTCCAGTACTCAGGGAGGCAGAGGCAGGCAGATCTCTTTAAATTGGTTGATGGACCTCTGTAAAATTGAATATAAAGAGATGTTTCTAGAGAAAGAAGTCTAGATGAAGAAATCTGGCCGGGCGGTGGTGGCCCATGTCTTTAATCCCAGCACTCGGGAGGCAGAGGCAGGTGGATCTTTGTGAGTTCGAGGCCAGCCTGGTCTACAGAGCGAGATCCAGGACAGGCACAAAGCTACACAGAGAAACCCTGTCTCGAAAAACCAAAAAAAAAGAAATCTGAACTGAGTATGATCCCAGCACTCAGGATGCTGAGGTAAGAGTAATGCTACAAGTTTGAGGCCAGCCTAGGTTATAGAGTGAGATCTGTCTTAATGCATACCAGCCAGGTGATAATGGTGGCACACAGGTGCCGGGCAGATCTCTGTGAGTCCAAGACCAGCCTGGTCTACAGAGTGAGTTCCAGGACAG